AAGAAAAAAAAAAAAAAAAAGAAAAAAAAAAAAAAAAAAAAAAAAAAAAAAAAAAAAAAAAAGGAAGGGCGTTGATAGAATCGAGCTCGGTACCTCGGTGATGAACGCGGGCGCCAAGCGGGCGGCGGGCGCACTTCCGGGCGCCGCCTACCGCTTGCTCGCCACCGACGCGAGCGCGCAGTTTGCGGAGCTGCTGGCGGTGCTCGAGTTGAGCGGGCTGGTCGACGCGGGCGGCTCGCGCTGCGGCATCTGCAACGGCGACGAGTGGCAGACGCTCCGGCCGGACGAGGTCGAGGCGGGGCAGGTGCCGCACGCAGTACTGCGCGTGCAGCCCGTCTTCTACCGCTGCGGAGCTTGCATGCAAATGTTTTGGCCGGGGGACAAATACGAGAGCACCATGGATGGGCTGCGTGCGGAGGGCCGCGACGTGCCGCCGCGACGTGCGGGCACGGCTGGCGTCGCGTGGCGACCGCCCGTCCCGTCTGCCCCAGCCCGGCCACCGACGGAGGACCGCCGCCGACCTCCAAAGACGGGTACGCTGCACTCGACAATGCGAATGAAATTTAGCTTGGACGAGTGACTCTCCCTGCGACTCTTGAGTGACCCACTGTGACTGTCCTAGAAAAGCTCATCGTGTTCGGTGCGGGGAGTATATATCCACAGACGGTCCCGCGCCTCGCCGCTAAGTTTGCGGCACGCGCCCCGCACCGTCCGCTGTGCCGCGTTTTTTGTCCGGAGTGAAAAGTCCAACGCGCTCGTCGGTGACGGCTTCCCTCAACCTGCGCCGCGCTCGGCGAACCTCGACAGCGCTTTCGGTGGCATGCATTTCTTTGCGACAGAAGCCTGGAGAGCAGCTCCTCTGCTGCTCACACACTCTGCACAGATGGCACAGCTTACGGTGCGGCTGCCACAGCTGTGACAGCGATGGGCTCGCCCTCACTGGCCCTCAGTCACTTGTGCTGCGGCTTGTGTGAGCGACACTGCTCGGCGACTGCCGGCACACTGTGAGACCATGGGTGTGAGGTTAAACCACGCTACCAGCGCTTGGTCACATGGTCACATCGGCCCCGAGGTCAGATCCTTCTACTCTGTTGATGACAACACTTGTCTACTCGCTGGAGCCGAGCAGGAGGGCCCGGCGCACAACCCCTGGTCAACTCAGGGTCCACACCCCGTAACTTTGGGCCTAACAGTTGCGCTATTGTTGGCTGAAATCCTTAACGTTGTTCAAGTGTTCACCCCCCAGCCCATGCTGTTACTGTTTGTTACTGTTGTTACTGTTGTTCAGCGGCCAGCAAGCAGAAAACGGCAAAAAAACCGGGTAAACCCCGAAAATACCTGGGATTTCCCGGGTATTTTCGGGTATTACCCGCACTGGACGCTGGAGATCGTCGTGGGTCACTGCCAGGCCTTCCTTATTGTTGTTCAGCCGGCCTACCGTTAGCTGCTGTTGTTGGGGAGCCCCCACTGTTGTTCTGTTGTTACTGTTAACACTAGCAACACTGTTCAGCTCCCAACGTTAAACAGCTCTACACATGTCCCTGTTCATCCACACACAAACCCACAAGAGCGCACTGAGCACTTCCAGAGAGTTCCACAAGCTCCCTCACGTCTCAGAAATAAACGTATACAGCAGACCCCTCTACTAGGAGATGGGTAAAAAGGAGCAAGTCCCCGCCCATGCGGTCTTTGTGGATTGTGCAGGGTTCTTTGTCTCACGTCTCAGGTGATCTCGGCCATATCTCATTTTGTGTTCTGTGTGTCTCACGTCTCAGATGATCTCGGCCATATGCATATCTCATTTTGTGTTCTCTCTCACTTACATCTCACGGAACTCGCCCGAGTCTACCCGCGGCTTCGGCGCGCTGCATGCGGAGCGCGGCGCCAAAGGAAGCGCCTCGCGCAAGGCACCGCACCTCCGAACGGGAGGCGCTAGGCTGCTGCACCCGGCGGCCCCGCTGTAACGGCGACCCTGCCTCCTCCTCCCCCTCCTCCTCCTCCGGGATTTTGTGCTGCACCGCGTCGACCCACGCGAAACCTTCAGTGCCCATGGGCCTCAGCTCCACCACTCTGCCCGTCAGGTTCTGGTAGGTGAAGCTCTGAGCCCTGCAAGTCTTCTCTGCCATCAG